TTTACTTTTTTCGCCAATCATTATTAAAAAAGTTATTAATGAAAACAGTAGATCAATGGTATTTTAACCAATTTATCGCTTGATAAAACGAAATATCAAGTTTTTCTAGATCTGCTATGGTTTCTAGAAATATAGATATAGTCTAAAAGTCATAAAAAGAATTTCGACATTTCTTGTTTAAAGATAAATGTATGCACATCAATAATTCATGACTCATTCGGTTTTCGTCCTCAGTTTTAATTATCGTTCGCAAATTGCATACTAGCGTTAAAGGAGAATACGCATGCGTGAAGGAATCGTTGTAAAGCGTCAAAACGAACTTGATCGCATCGCAAAGCGCAGAGCGCAGAGTCAGACTAGAGTGAGAGTCAAAGCCGCCAGAGTCAGTGTCAGTACGCGCAGTACGAATTCTGCTGTCGTAGGGAGTGTGCTGCTTGTTTCGTGCATCTTACGTCTATTCTCCTTTCTTGTGATTTACTACTAGAGGAGGATCATGGCTATTTGTGAGTATATTTTTAATACCAATCATTGTTACTTATTCACCTTTGATCTTTATGGATTTTGCGAGACAAATCACGTATGGCATTTTTCCGTATCGAATTTCATAGTAATTCGACGACAGACTTTATGCAATCAGACAGACACCATAAATAAGGTTCTAGTGAATAAGATAGAACTCGAAAAGTGAAAGTATTTCGCGTGACTTTTAAAGAATCACGTCTATATTTATTTGTCGATTTGAATATCGAATACTTATCCAATCCAAGGCTGAACGTAATTGGAATTGTAATCTTCCTATTACTTCATATCGTTTATTACGTATTATGATCCGTTCATACTTTCAGTTAGTTAATAGGAATTTACATCTATAGATAAAGTAAAATAACGAATGGATGGCCCGGCAAGAATGTTCATGGCTTGAAAAATGTTTAAAAACGTGTTTACTCGACAGCCTTTTATGATCACTTGGATGATGTACGGTGTCTTTTTTAAACAGCTAAATATAATCTGTATCAGTGTGAAGGTGCCAGTTTGACAAGCCGGCCGGCCGGCTTTCTCCTAACAAGAAAATGAGTAGAAGTACCAAACGAGTTTACAGAAACATTCTGTCGACCTTGCTAGAAAGAAAATTGCCCCAAACATTGTAAATTCGGACTAACATATTCACGCTATGATAACTGTGAATTGTTTCGTTTCTGAAAAAATGTTCTATGTTATCTCTGTCTGTTTTCATCATCCCGAATTCCGGGCCACTGCGTCACAGCAAGATTCCTTGCGTAATGACGACTTCCAGATTGTTTCGCAACCTTCGCGAGATTTTCTTACATAGGATTCTTGTGTTAACCAAACAAAATGTTTATGCATACAAAATCATAATGTAATATTTTTTCTGTTTAAACCGGACGGCTTGTTATCGGAGTTTACTGCGTATTTTGCTTGTCCGTACATTTTTCTTGCTGGACATCGTGATCCACTTTGCTGGCAAAAGAGAGTTGCCAGGCGAGGTCAACGACAGCAATACGCGACTAGGAAACTAAACGATGCAGCCTTCCGATTAATTAACGAGCACTGATTGCGTATTTTTTAGTCTATTCGAATAACATGACGCAACGCGCTATTTGAACAGCGTGAAATAAAAACAGGATTATAATTAATACAACGGACGGACTTAAGTTGATCCGAGAATATTCGAGAGGATTGTTAGAAGCTGTGGAATACATTATGTACGGCGAAACTGTCTGACAGTCATTATTGCGCAATGAAAATTGACTCGATGCCTCTAATTTTCGTATTGTTATGTTAATTGCGAACGTAGCACCGTCCCCTTCGGCACACTGTCCAGTTTAATCAATTCGTCTTGCACGGCTTAAATTACCGCATGACTCATTGATACCCTATTGTCTAATGTGTAATTCATGCACTACCGTGACTGTTCGACCTAATCTCTGATGAAAGTTTGCCACGTCAAACAGTTCCAATCGTACGTATGCATGTTTGCGAGAAATATCAATAACATCAGCTCAAGAAACCTTCCTGCCATTCTCGATCGATGTGAGATTCTTCGATAATTTATTCAAACATGTTAATTACAGTGACTCACGCAACTGATCAAACACCTTTTAAAACAGAATAACTTTGTTAGTATTGAAGCAAACAACATAATTTTCCGTGGGATGCTAAGAGACTTAATTTACTGTATAATGGGTAAAAAAATTTGTTCAAAATTGTTATTAATCGGATTTGTAAAGGAAAAAATGAACATCGTATTTTTAACTCTTTTATTAAAGCCTCTAATAAAAATTTGGAACACCCCGTTTATAGATGTACTGGTAACTCAAGGGATTCCGGACCCACTTCGTATGCACACATAGAAGATACTCAGGTAGCTCCAACGCTCCAGCTAACAGTGACGCATGAAAGGCATTATGGAGAGAGAGAGAGAGAGAGAGAGAACATGTAACAGTTCTTATGTATGTGTGCGAGACGAATCCGGAATCAGGGATGGGATAATTTTTCCCGCACGGCTCGCTTCCCCTCTTTTTCGCCCGTATTTCGCCCGTATTTCGCCCGTATTTCGATCCCCACTACTATTCTCTTCATGCGCCTTCGCTGACTATGCCTAGCATACCCCCGTCAGGTACCAGTCCCCATCATGGTCGCGTCGTCCCCACTTTCCGGCCGAGGGAAAAATTATCCCATCCCAGGTCCGGAATCCAGTGAGCCGTTACTTACATACATACATACATACAGTGGCTCACGAAAGTATTCGGAGCTTACATTTGCAAACATTAATAAACGAAATAATGCATATTAAACTAATTTGTTTAAAACAATTTGGCATCTATAGTAAGGGGCAAGACTCAAGATTGTCTGTAAAATTTGAAAATGATCCAACAATATAGGTAGTAGTCATGATACATTTATTATAAATACGTACAATGAGTGACTCAGAAAAGTATTCGAAAACTATAGATTATATACATATATATACAGCCTCTATATAGTAAGTTATACATGTCCAAAGTTTAATTGAAATCTGTTAGTGTTGCTATCAGCTATGAACAAATAAAAATATTATACATCGCAGTTTTTCACGATTGTGATTTACAACTGAGGAATTTTGTTTTTATGTGTCCTACTTCTTTGTGCTTTCTCCGAATGTGATGAAAATTCGTACATGCATATAACTTACTTAAATCTACAAACGCTTATTAGAAGCCCTAATTAAAAAGTTAAGAAACGCGACATTTATATTTTTCTTCCCGATTCCGACCAATAAAAGTGTTGAACAAGGTTTTGCACATGACATAGTAATTGAATTTGACAACAACTTTAAAGTTAAAACTGTAGGCCCTTAGTAGATGGTATAACTGTTCACGCCAGCACGTACTCTAGAAATCTATTGATTTTGTACAATTTGGTTATGCTTATAAGTAGTTGGTATGACTAATCGTTGCCCAATAGTCAAAACACGGTAGGAACAGAAATATTGATAATATGAGTAACCAGAAATAGAGGAAGATGAATAAGAATGTTTCTTGTTAGATAGATTTAGGGTGTCTGTCGCTAAGTTAACTGTGTCAATAGCGATACGTTAATTCGTCATCCACTATAGTGAAGTTTCCTAGCATTACGCAGAAAATTGTGTTGTTTGCTCCAATATTAAATAAGTTCTGTTTTAAGAGGTGTACGATCAATTGCGTGAGCATTGTATAATTTGATTTATGGGGGATATAAATTGCTGTGCAAAAATGGAATGTGAATGGCCTGCGATGCGTGGCTCATAAGAATTGATGAGCCTGGAATTACTGACGATTTCTCGTTCATTGACGATGACCCAATGATGTCAGCAACGAGCCTGGCCTTCATGACACAGCTACTATTTATAAGCGTTACGTTCGTTCAACAAAATCTACGTACAGAAAATATTTCGATCGACAGTAGGTAGACGCAATGGCAGTCATTTCGTACGTGGATCATAATACGATAGCATAAAATCAAAATAAAATAAAAGAAGATAGATATCTCGAATATGACTGAACGCGATCATCTTCATTAAGTGTTCGTAATTTATGGTTAACGAGTTTCTCTCTAATTTAATCTTGACAAGTTTCGAATGCTTGAATTTAAGTAGGAATCAATGAAACTGTGATTGATTAATATCAACGGTGATGGACATCGATAAACTTAAAATGTGCATGCCTTCCGTGTCATTGCGGAATCATTTCATACAAACATTCATACTAATAATTATTTTCGCAGACTTCGGATTCGAGTTGTTGTCTTTACTAGAACTTCCAGGTAAATGAAAAAAAGCGAAGAAAAATTGTGTCGGGATCGTTTGAAAAGATTCAGGATTGTGACGCGATTTAGATTATTTATCGTGTGCACGTTGTATTGATCGATGCAAGTCCTACATCGACCTACTTTTATCCTGGCGCCCAGACGTCTAGGCGTCGTTGTTTTCTCCGTTGAAAGGAATCCCTTTCTCTGGTTTCAGCACTCTCCACCGAAGATAAATTAGAATATCAGTTCTATCCCTGTGCGAGTGGCCAGCTGCAATTTCGGATCAAAGCCCCTCACGATGCTCACATAGCACTTACGACAGGCCCTCACGAAGGAGAAACTATGTACGAAGTAAGAATCAAGAAAAGAGAGCCACAATATATTACGTCGAAGAAATATAATAATCTGATAAAAATCGCAGGTGTTTATCGGTGGTTGGAGCAACAGCAAGTCTGTAATACGTAAAAATAGAACGAAGCCTGATGTCGCTGAGGTAGATACACCTGGCATTCTGAGCGCTGATGAATTTCGTGGATTCTGGATTAGGTCAGCTTAATTGCTAAACAGAAACTATCTCTTTTTTGATGATTCTGTATTCTTATATTTATCTTACAGTATCTTAATCTGTCTTAATTCAATCCTTTACAGTCGTCCCTACGTATTTACTTTTACTTCTAATACTTCCGTCGATCTCTCTCTCTCTCTCTCTCTCTCTCTCTCTCTCTTTCTTGCCTTCTTTTATTCCCGTCTTCCTCCTTATGTCAAACATTATACATGTTACCTTGTACACATCTCTCCTTCTCTCTGCCTCTCATCTTTATTCGTTTCCTAATATCTCTCTGTCTCTCTCTCTCTCACTCCCCTTACTCTCTCATACATTTTGAACCTCCTTTCCGGTGTTATGCTCTGTATTCTACTCTATCTCTTGATCTATCTTCTCATTTATGTCTTTCTACTGCTGCTGTTTTTTTCCATTCCCAATTCTTATTCAGTCCTTCATCCACTCTATCCCCTCACCTTTTCCATCCAATATATCAGTCACTCTCTCATCTACTCCTCTCGTTTCTCTGTCTTCTATCTGCGTTACACACTCTCCCAGCACATGAATCCAATTTTCTGTACCCCACCCACATCTTCCACTTTTTTTTCTTTTCGTTTTCCCAGTACCTTCCTGCTCTCATTTCATTCCCCAATTTGTTCATATATGTATGTATAAATCGTCTGTTACTATGTTAATTGTCTCAGATGGCACGATGGAGCTATATCAGTAGGCAAAGAAGGAGACCCAAGCTCATTTCTCACGTATGCCGATCCGGAACCGTTCGGTGTTGGTTACTTCGGAGTGTGCACCGGTTGGGGCGCGTCCGGAGAATGGATGATCGAAGGTAAAGTTGTTTCCACTTCCTCTTTGCTATGCAAACGCAATTTTATCTAGATACAAAAAGTAGCAATATTATTAAGAGCCCAATTATAATATGTTAATTTGTTAATCATATGATTTCGGATGGGAACAACTAATGCGTCGTCCGTGCAGCTATATGCGTAGCTGGTCATGATCACGGTCGTTGTACGTAAAGTATACGAAGCCGAGAAATAATATTTGCATTCGTACCCTTTTAGACTGTAGCTTGTTTGCTTGAGATGTTTGATCCTAACTCGTTTATTCTTAGCCAGTCACTAGCAGCTATTTATTTGATTGAACGATAGACTGTTATTTTTTTTGCGGCACCTCCCAAAATTGTCAATTAATAAAATAGTAATATGTTCAAAATTTGAGTTCAATCGGATGACAGGAAAATATATCCCCTTTGAACATTAGAATAATGAATAAATTTAGAAGATAAAAACATGTCAGATCGTGAAATGTAGATTTAGATGTCAAGGAACATATTTTATGTTCTGTCATCTTTTTTGTCCGATAAACAAATTTTGAAAAAAAAAATGAAAAAAGAGCGAAAAACAAATTCTTCTCTAATTTAAAATATGTAAGTTCCTCTTGTTCATTTGTGATCCGTAAAGACTATAAAAGATGTATTTCATTCATTTTCGATCCCACTGAACTATTAATTTATTTACAAGTTACGTATAATGGGAAATAGGAAATTGAATGGAAAATAATGTGTTTATTACATTTTTTATCTTGAACTTTTCTTTATTCACGGATATTAACTTGCAGCCAACATTTCACCGGTAGTCGGTTGCAATCTGTAATTTTTATGTTTCTCGTTTGTAGTAAATAATTTGTTATAATCCATGAGTTGAATCCCGCCACTTGGACTGAAAGTGCAAGTTCTAGGAAATAGTTAGAAGTAATAAATAAACTGTGAGTAATAAATAATATAGCATACAGAGGGATTAAACTAATTCATTTTTCCATTCGATCTTCTATTTTCCGTTACACGTAACGTGTAAATAAATTAATAATAAAATAATTTACGGAGATAATCGATCTTTTTTTAATAACTTTTGTATTTTCAAAATATAGTCGAAACACGAATCGAAAACGAATGACATACATCTTTTGTAGTCTTTCACAAATGAATGAAACAAACGCAATTTTTTTTAAAATGGAAAAAGGATTTTTTCCTCGCTGTTTTTCTTTTTTTTTCGAAATTCGTCCAACAGGCGAAATAAGATAACACAACAGTAACTTTACGCCTTGTCTAGATCTACAAGGTGGGGCACTTAAAACAGACCACCTGAATAACTTCGCTCCTATTGGTAACAGGAAAAAATACATACGGCCAAAATTATTTGGTATCGAGGGGTTGATCATCTGGTATTACTAGTTTTCTGATAAGTGGAGGCGCCTAGGAGATATGAAGGTCATTCCTGTTTTTTTAAATGGAACGGTATGTTTTTTACTTACATCCTGATAGAATATTTCAAGATGAAAACAACGACCTATTGGAACGGTCATTCGTGGTTTGAATTAAGCCAATTGTGATGGAAAATAGTTTACTTTGAGGGAATGGTCAAACACCGTTGATTTATTTATTTAACAGTAATGCACCACTAATACAAGTGTTCAAAATGGTGACCTTGAATACTGTTGCATGCTCTGAAGCGTCATTTGACGGATAATATGGCATGTTGAATTACAGTTCGGTTTATCGCGGCATAAGCTCTTCTTATACATTCTTTGGTTTGGTTGATAGTATTTCATTGTACACCTGGTGTTTTAATTTTCCCCACAGGAAAAAATCCATAAGTGCTACTGTTTGTTACAGTCTCTTACAGTTTGGCGACATCCGCCATAAACAAAAACCATATTTACTTTCTCCAATATTTAATAACGCATTTCGGGATCTTAAAATACACTTCGCTCGTCAGAGGTTCTGATAAACGACTATAGTATGTACAGATGAATTGTACAGCGTGAACACATATTATACATTTTGAACACTTGTATTAGTGGTGCATTACTGTTAAATAAATAAATCAACGGTGTTTGACCATTCCCTCAAAGTAAACTATTTTCCATCACAATTGGCTTAATTCAAACCACGAATGACCTTTCCAATAGGTCGTTGTTTTCTGAAAACAACGACCTATTGGAACGGTCATTCGTGGTTTGAATTAAGCCAATTGTGATGGAAAATAGTTTACTTTGAGGGAATGGTCAAACACCGTTGATTTATTTATTTAACAGTAATGCACCACTAATACAAGTGTTCAAAATGGTGACCTTGAATACTGTTGCATGCTCTGAAGCGTCATTTGACGGATAATATGGCATGTTGAATTACAGTTCGGTTTATCGCGGCATAAGCTCTTCTTATACATTCTTTGGTTTGGTTGATAGTATTTCATTGTACACCTGGTGTTTTAATTTTCCCCACAGGAAAAAATCCATAAGTGCTACTGTTTGTTACAGTCTCTTACAGTTTGGCGACATCCGCCATAAACAAAAACCATATTTACTTTCTCCAATATTTAATAACGCATTTCGGGATCTTAAAATACACTTCGCTCGTCAGAGGTTCTGATAAACGACTATAGTATGTACAGATGAATTGTACAGCGTGAACACATATTATACATTTTGAACACTTGTATTAGTGGTGCATTACTGTTAAATAAATAAATCAACGGTGTTTGACCATTCCCTCAAAGTAAACTATTTTCCATCACAATTGGCTTAATTCAAACCACGAATGACCTTTCCAATAGGTCGTTGTTTTCGTCTTGAAATATCCTATCAGAATGTAAGTAAAAACATACCGTTCCATTTAAAAAAACAGGAATGACCTTCATATCTCCTAGGCGCCTCCACTTATCAGAAAACTAGTAACACCAGATGATCAGCCCCTCGATACCAAATAATTTTGGCCGTATGTATTTTTTCCTGTCACCAACAGAGGAACCAAGTTATTCAGGTGGTCTATTTTAAGTGCCCAACTTTGTATTTCTCATAATCCGACAGGTTTTTTTAATATAATTGACGGTTTATAAGATAATCGAAAATTACTGATTTTATGAGTATTTATTCATTATTTTAATATTTAAAGGTTTGAGGGCACGCATTCCTGTTGTCCAATTGAATTCAAACTTCTCCCAGATTATTTTCTTATTAATTGTGACAATGTCAAAAAATTTCCAAGAATAAATGAGAGCTACCCTACCATTGCACGCGATGCGCACGAATCATAGATCACGCGCAGTCACGCTTGCGTCTTGCTAGAACGTGACGACAAATATTCACTGTTCAGGCTTATAAGGCAAAACCTTGTTGACAGGCTCGATAGTTTTTTTAAATTGTGGGCAAGCTAAACTGTAAACTTTGATTCTTATAAGGACGCGGTCGCTTGTCGACGCGGAACGAATTAGTGTACAATTTTTCCAACGTGAGAAGCGGCGCGGTGGTTATCGATGTGAGAGCTAAGAGCAACGCGCACGTCGCCCTGTCCAGCAAAAAAGGCGAATCGAGCCCAATGTACGAAATCATTCTCGGCGGATGGGAGAACAAAGCGTCCGTAATCAGATACGATCGCAAACAACCAGATAAGGTTCGAGATCTACCGAACCCGATGACACTTTTCTTTAATTCTTTCTTTTTCTGTATCAAAAAAATAAATATCAGATATTCCAAATTTAGGTAGTTGTTGCCTGCATGAGAAGTATTAAAAATTGTTTGAAATTTTGTATGAAAATATAAAAATCGTACATCGATTGACCATCTCTTCATATTTCAGTCAAAATTCACAAATTTCATCAGAGTTTAACATTGGAGTAATGGCATCAGCACGAGAAAAATATCTTTATTCACGGCTGAACTGAAAAAGCCACTTTTCTCCGTGAAAAGCGGGACTAAAATCGCTTATTTTTGCCTTATACACCATAAGCGGGGCGAGAAGTCTTTATTCCCGTAAATGCGGGAGTAAAAGTTTAGTCTCGCATATGTAAAGTAGTTCCCCTCTTCCTCATATACTTTGATCATCGTAAACGGGGAAAAAAATCCTTTTAAATTAACCCTTTCGTTTCGAGCGCCGGATATATCCGGCATCCGCGCGACGATCTGTGCGTACGAGCGCCGGATATATCCGGCATCCACACGGTCATCCACGGAAATTCCGTTCGGTGACGGCACTTTGGCGAACTGGAATGCCGACACGAAAGGGTTAAAAAAACTCAGAAAATTTTAGAAAATGTTTAGAATTCAGTTACTAACCTAGTTTTAAATAAAGTGGCTTTACAGTTCAGTCATAAATAAAATACTATATGCAACACGAGAGTAAAGTCAATTATTTCCTGTGGGGAAACCCACCCGCGGGAATAATGGGCGACTTTACTCCCTTCTTGCATAATATACTATTCTTCGGCTATGCAATTGATCGAGTAATAATAAATATTTCAAAAATGTGACGCAACTAGTCTAGACTATAATAAAACCCATCGATTCTTTTTAGATTATTAACCATTTATTTACGGAGTAATACTATTCTAAATGTTATACCATTTGATTTTATCATTTTTCTCGCCGACTATGAGAAGTTCGATAAATGTGACAACGTTCAGCTTTAGCTAGCCGGTATAGATATACGAGAGTATAATTTTCTTTGAAAATATTTATTTCTTCGTTTTATAGCATAATACAGGGTGGGCCGGAAATCGTAATACAACCGAGCAGGGAATGATTCTACGTTAAAAAAAGAAAACTTGTAAACGATTTATATTTGCAGCACTGCAATACACCATTGCAAGCTCCTAAAGCAAGCAATAAGTATATCAACATACTTCCGATTGGAATATGTTACCATAGCTTAACGATGACTTAATCAGACGAAGGTAAATGAGAAGAAGCGAACTATTACGGAGTCTAATAAACTATGACTCTTATTGTTAACCGAAATGTGTAAATGTTTTTCCGTCGTTGTCAATGTTTGTAAACACTGTCCCGGACAGAGACTACTAGAGCAATGGAATACACGACAAGCAACTTGTACTAAATCGTTTACAGGTTGAACAAACTTTAGAGCCGATTTTCACGAAAACAGAGATGAAAAAATATTACCCGGTATAATAACCAAAATTCATATCTTTTATTTATAATGCAGAAAAAGTCTTGTAGTAGTATTCATTATAATTGTACCTTTATTGGCTAAAGAATAAGACTTTGGTTGCACCTTGAAAATACTTAATTTTTCATTTCTCCACACCTTCACATACTAACGATTCATTTCATACCTCATTACCTATAGACTTTACGTTTCTCTAAGACTTACCTTATTTCAATTAAATGTGGACAAAATAAGCTAAACATAAGACGAAACAAAATAAGCAAATACATGCTTTATCTTTCTTATCAGTAGGTATACAATCACTTTTTAATTTTTCTGTTTGTTTGAAATCTAAATATATATATAATTCATATTATTTTCATGATCCTTCTTTTCCTTTTAATATCTTATCTATCATTGTTATTCAATTTAACACATATTCCTCCCCAATTCCCTCTAATATTTCCATAATAGAGTACTGCCCTCTCACTAAATCGTCGCAATCCCCATTCTCTTTCACATATACTACCTTTTTTCACCATCTTGTCTATCCAGTATCTATTACGTGGTTCCTTACTACTATACCTGACTCTCGGTATTAGTTTTCAGTATTACCCCTCAACTCATTTACGAGATACTGCGGTACCCGCAGCGGGTTAAGACCAGTGGGGACCCTAAGCGGTAAAAATTTCGGCCCCTCTCCCCCTCCTCCAAACAAAAAAAGGAGGAAAGTCTCATTATGTTACAAATAAAAAGGAAAAGCATAAAACATTATATTTATTAAAAAACATACATTTTACATATTTTTTTATATGAATTTCCGTCTTGCTTTATTTATTGCAAATTGATTAATTATTTTGACAGTGTCAATTCGGCTTAAAATTTCTTTCTCTATACAGGGTGTTCAAAGCTAGATATCGAAATGGGAGGTTCCTGATATAATTTAAAACAACATTTTCTTTAGCGAAAAAGTTGTCCGAGGCGTGGTTAAGGAATTATTAACAAAAAAGCCCGATCAATCAGAGCGCTCGGTTGGCGCGAGCTCCGGGTCGGGAGCATTGGCTCGGATCCGGACGCCCGACCTTTCTCCATTCATTCCATTTGAATGACGATTAAATGCATTAATTACTATTAATTTCCTTGCATTGTTATTCATGCAGATTATTATTCGTCATTTTCTTAAAACGCTTCGTATTAAGCGGAGCGCTCGTTCACGCGTCAAAGACCTAGGCATCCGAATCCGGATGATCGGGTTTTTTTTTGTCAATAACTCCTCAACCACGCCTTGCACAACTTCTTCGCTATGGAAAATGTTTTAAAGATATCAGGAGCCTCCTATTTCAATACCTTACTCTAGTTTTGGGACACCCTGTATATAAAATACCCATATTATTTAATCTTTCGTCTCCCATAGTACTCCTTAAATAATTTTTTACACGCTTTAAACCAGAAAACGATTTTTTTCCTGACGCATTAGATAAAGGAATAGTAAAGTTTACAAAATTCGGCGCAGATCGATGAAAAATCTTAAG